AAGATAGTTGGCATTTTATAGTCTAATGCATAAATTTTAGTTAATCTAAAATTTTGCTAATGCCAGTTTAATTCTATGCCTAAGAATCTAAAGTGATAGGTATTAGTATCACTGATTAAGCAAGTATATAGTATTTGGAAATTACAGTATTATACCTCCATATATGGCATGAATGTGAATATTGGTCTATGAACCAATGAAATAATTTTCTTCTCTATCAAATAATTTTTATCCACAAAAATATCTGAATTGAGTGCTCTTTAAGAAATTACACCTTTCAATTGATGTTTTATATAAAGGGCCAGAAATATCTGAATTTATGATATCATTAATACTCCTTTTGAAGGACATCAAAGGAAAAATGTTACATTTTAGTCAAGTATTACTAAAAAGAAGTAGAAAGCCTTTACACAAGGTCCACATTACAATGGTAAAATCTAATTAAAAGCTTTAATTTAGTATGTGAATTTCTACCTCATAAAAAGTTAGATGCTTTATATGAAAACAGCATCAACTTTAGAACTACTTTCAAGCTGTCTCTAACTTTCAAATAGATAAAAAGCAAGAATTGAAAGAGAGCTGCATAATCTAAAATATTTGAGGTGATAAAATGGCTGGTAATAAATAATTTTAAAACTTTAATTACTCCATTTCTAAATTATGTAAATTCTAAATGTATCTATTATGTGTAACAAAAATATCTTCTAACATAGCTGTATATTTCTTCTCACCTCCATATTATCACTATTCTAGTACATAGCATATTTTATTATCCCCAAATGTTTACCACTTTTAAATAATCTCAAATTATCCGTCTACTTTTTAAGTCACCGTGAGGATATTTACTTGACGTCTGTTATCTATCTACTTTTATGATTTAAGCCAATGCAAGGTGGTGTTTTACTATATATCTTGAGATTCTTTTAAGAGTCCTTTTTTGAGAAAATTTTATAAACCATCAGTTGCATTTCTGTTACCAACTACTAGTATTAAAAAAATAAGTCTTATTCTTTGAAAGAAAGAGCATTCACTTATATAAACTATTTTCTCCTTGTTTATACATATTGATGATCTCAAACTGGGTCTCAAGAGATGGATTTCTTGGAAACTTAGACGTTTGGAACTGGAAAGGACATTAGAGATCATCCACTCCAACCCCTTCGTTTTATGGTTGAGGACACTGAGCCCAGAAAAGATAGCTGAGTGACTTTGGGCAAGTTTCCTAGCGAGTGGCAGAGCCAGAATCAGAAGCCAGGTCTCCTGACGCCCTGTTAGGAGCCAGGTCTCCTGACTTTTAGTCCAAGGATCTTTCCATTACACACACACTGACTCTCTATTCTTTGAGGCTGTCTTGGGCTGCTAACACTGATCAAGCTGTTTTGTAACTGATCACATTCACCAAATAAAATGCCTTTGATGACAAGTCATGGGACCTTGGAACATACCTGTATCATCAGGCTCTACTCTAATTAATCACAATCTCCCCCTATCTAGAACATCTCAATAGCTCCTCACTGATTATACAATAAATTATAAAGTTCCTTCACATGGTCCTCAAAGCAGTGTATGAGCTAACCCCTGCAGGTTTCATGACACTCTCCCCATCTCCATCTGTGCTGTTGACACTAGCCTTCATTCAGTTCTTCTGATGTATCAAACTCCTTCCTATCTCAGCACAGGCCATTCCCTGTAACCAGGCTCTTCTCCCATGCTTTGTCTGGCTAGATAGTAATCATTCCTCAGTTGTCAGTTTAAATAGAAGACCCCTTTAAGAGGAATCCCCCAAACTCTCTAATCCTGTGCCCCACACCCACCTCCTCATTTTTAGACTCTTATTGCAACCTATATATTTAGTGTTTATAACAAGCCCAATTAATGAGTTATTTATTCAATTACTTATTTAATATGTTTCTTTTTTCAATCTACTCCAAGCTTTGTAAGGACAGGTACTCCACCTATCCTTAATCACCACTCTACCCTCCAGTGCTTAGCAGGCAGTATCTGGAACACAATAATCTAAATAGCTCATGTTTACTATGGCTAGTGGATTACTGCGTGTCAGACCTTGTTCTAAGGGTGATGATTTCACTCAAATCTCCAACACTTCTATGAGGTTGGTAGTACTTGTACTTATTTTACAGATGACAACCCTGAGGTACAGTGCATTTAGAAACTTGCCCAGTATCACAGAGCAAGTACATAGTGCAACAAAAGGTTTGAATTCTAGCATTCTGATTCCACAGCCCATTTTTCAAAATTACTATATTATGCTGCTGCATACTGAAATATTTGTTGAATAAATGAATGCACTTAGCCACAAAATCAAATTAACAGTATCACTGAACCATATCAATGGGATAACAATAAGAAAAACAACACATATACTGTTTGTAATATGCCAGGCGTTTTCTAAGTAGCATACACGGTGTAATCATTTAGTCCCACAGTAACTTTACAAAATAGGCACTACTATGATTGCCACTTTACAGATGCAGAAACTGAGGCACAGAGAGGTTAAATGACTTGCCCAAGATCATGTTGCTAGTAAGTGGCGGCTCTGGGTTTCAAACACAGGCAGTCTATTTTGAGCCTGTTCTCTTCTATTCTACGCTGCATACTTGTGTTAGCCCATATCTGAAGACAGCTTAAAGTTAATAATAAGTTACTAATGCAACAATCGTCGTTGAACCCTGGAAGGACAAAAAAAGAGAAAGC